AGCACCACCACCGCCGCAGCAACTTTCAGACCACCACCACCACCGCCGCAGCAACATCAGCACCACCACCCCCACCGCAGCAACATCAGCACCACCACCCCCACCCAGCAACATCAGCACCACCACCACCCGCAGCAACATCAGCACACCACCACACCGCAGCAACATCAGCACCACCACCACCACGCAGCAACATCAGCACCACCACCACCACCGCAGCAACATGCAGCACCACCACCACCACCGCAGCAACATCAGCACCACCACCGCAGCAACATCAGCACCACCACCGCAGCAACATCAGCACACCACCGCAGCAACATCACACCACCACCGCAGCAACATCAGCACCACCACCGCAGCAACATCAGCACACCACCGCAGCAACATCAGCACCACCACCGCAGCAACATCAGCACACACCGCAGCAACATCAGCACCACCACCGCAGCAACACCCAGCACCACCACCGCAGCAACATCAGCCACCACCGCAGCAACATCACCACCACCACCGCAGCAACATCAGCACCACCACCGCAGCAACATCAGCACCACCACACCACCGCAGCAACATCAGCACCACCACCCACCGCAGCAAACATCAGCACCACCACCACCACCGCAGCAACATCAGACACCACCACCACCGCAGCAACATCAGCAACCACCACCACCACCGCAGCAACATCAGCACCACCACCACCACCGCAGCAACATCAGCACCACCACCACCACGCAGCAACATCAGCACCACCACCACCACCGCAGCAACATCAGCCCCACACCACCACCGCAGCAACATCAGCACACCAACCACCACCGCAGCAACATCAGCACCACCACACCACCGCAGCAACATCAGCACCACCACCACCACCGCAGCAACATCAGCACACCACCACCACCGCAGCAACATCAGCACCACCACACCACCGCAGCAACATCAGCACCACCACCACCACCGCAGCAACATCAGCACCACACACCACCACCGCAGCAACATCAGCACCACCACCACCACGCAGCAACATCAGCACCACCACCACCACCGCAGCAACATCAGCACCACCACCACCACCGCAGCAACATCAGCACCACCACCACCACCGCAGCAACATCAGCACCACCACCACCACCGCAGCAACATCAGCACCCCCACCACACCGCAGCAACATCAGCACCACCACCACCACCGCAGCAACATCAGCACCACCACCACCACCGCAGCAACATCAGCACCACCACCACCACCGCAGCAACATCAGCACCCCCACCACCACCGCAGCAACATCAGCCCCACCACCACCACCGCAGCAACATCACCACCACCACCACCGCAGCAACATCAGCACCACCACCCACCGCAGCAACATCAGCACCACCACCACCGCAGCAACATCAGCACCACCACCACCGCAGCAACATCAGCACCACCGCAGCAACATAACCACCGCAGCAACATCACCACCACGCAGCAACATCACCACCACCGCAGCAACATCACCACCACCGCAGCAACATCACCACCACCACCACCGCAGCAACATCAGACCCACCACCACCGCAGCAACATCAGCACCACCACCACCGCAGCAACATCAGCACCACCACCACCGCAGCAACATCAGCACCACCACCACCGCAGCAACATCAGCACCACCACCACCACAGCAACATCAGCACCACCACCACCGCAGCAACATCAGCACCACCACCACCGCAGCAACATCAGCAGCAGCACCACCGCGGGCACCACCACAGCAACATCATACCACCACAGCATAAGCTGCACCACCACTGCAGCAACATCAACAGCAGCACCACCACAGCAACATCAGCAGCATCACCACCACAGCAACATCAGCAGCAGCAGCACCGTCACAGCAACATCAGCAGCACCACCACAGCAACATCAGCAGCACCACCACTGCCACAGCAACATTAGCAGCACCACCACAGCAACATCAGCATCACCACCACAGCAACATCAGCAGCATCACCACCACAGCAACATCAGCAGCATCACCACCACAGCAACATCAGCAGCATCACCACCACACAACATCACAGAAACACCACAGCAACATCAGCTCACCACCACCACCACAGCAACATCAGCAGCACCACCACCAGCAACATCAGCAGCAGCACCACCACCACCACAAGCAACATCAGCAGCAGCACCACCACAACACAGCAACATCAGCAGCAGCACCACCACCACCAAGAAACATCCAGCAGCAGCACCACACCACCACCCAGCAACATCAGCAGCAGCACCACCACCAACAGCAACATCAGCAGCAGCACCACCACCACCACAGCAACATCAGCCAGCAGCACCACCACCACCACAGCAAACATCAGCAGCAGCACCACCACCACAGCAACATCAGCAGCAGCACCACCACCACAGCAACATCAGCTGCAGCACCACACCACAGCAACATCAGCAGCAGCACCAAACCACCACAGCAACATCAGCAGCAGCACCACCACCACAGCAACATCAGCAGCAGCACCACCACCACAGCAACATCAGCAGCAGCACCACCACCACAGCAACATCAGCAGCAGCACCACCACCACAGCAACATCAGCAGCAGCACCACCACCACAGCAACATCAGCAGCAGCACCACACCACAGCAACATCAGCAGCACCACCACCACCACAGCAACATCAGCAGCACCCACCACAGCAACATCAGCAGCAGCACCACCACCACAGCAACATCAGCAGCAGCACCACCACAGCAACATCAGCAGCAGCACCACCACAGCAACATCAGCACCACCACCACCACCACAGCAACATCAACAGTACCACTACAATAAAACCATTAAACAATAGCCTCACAACAGAAGCACCAACAGTGTTGCCACACAAGACACCACCTGGTCCTGACAGTGGCGATAGCTTGCTGGTCACCAGCACGCTATCACCACTGCAAGTAGCACCACCAGCAGGCTATCACCATCACACATGAACCACCGCCAGAAGAGGTATAAATATCATGGTGCAGGGAGTAGCGACCAGTGAAGAGGCAGGGCCTGGAGCTGTGACTCAACCCCTGCAACCACAATTAGGCGAGTACTGCCAGCAGCACCACACATGAACCACGGCCAGTAGCACCACCAGCAGGCTAGCACCACCACATGAACTACCGCCAGTAACACCGCCACACATGAACCACCACCAGCAGGCTAGCACATGAACCACCGCCAGTTGCACCAGCAAGCTAGCACCACATGAACCACCACCAACAGGCTAGTACCACCACACATGACCCACCAACAGGCTAGCACCACATGAACCACCGCCAGCAGGCTAGCACATGAACCACCGCCAGTAGCACCACCAGCAGACTAGCACCACCACACGAACCACTGCCAATTGCACCACCAGCAAGCTAGCACTACCACATGAACCACCACCAATAGACTAGCACCACATGAACCACCACCAGCAACACCAACAGGCTAGCACCACCATAAATGAACCATCGCCAGTAGGCTAGCACCACACATGAGCCACCGCCAGTAGCACCACCACACATGAACCACCGCCCGTAGCACCACCACCACATGAACCACCGCCAGTAGCACCACCACACATGAACCACCGCCAGTAGCACCACCACCACACATGAACCACCGCCAGTAGCACCACCCCCACACGAAACACCACCAGCAGGCTATCACCGCCACATGAACCACCGCCAGTAGCACCACCAGCAGGCTAGCACCATCACATGAACCACCGTCAGTAGCACACCAAAACCCCCACATGCACCACCAGCCAGGCTAGCACCACCACACGAACCACCGCCCGTAGCACCACCGCAGCAGCAGCACCACCACACAAAACCACCCGTAACACCACGCAGGGTAGCACCACCCACATGAACCACCGCAGCTAGCACACCACCGAACCATCCGCCATAGCACCACCACAAAGAACCACCGCCCCAGCAGCAGCACCACCACATGAACCAACAGGCAAGCACCACCACCAAACCACCGCCAGTAACACCACAAGCAGGCTAGCACCCCCACACTGAACCAACAGGCTAGCACCACCACCATGAACCACCGCCAGTAGCACCACCAGCAGGCTAGCACCACCACATGAACCAACAGGCTAGCACCACCAATGAACCACCGCCAGTAGCACCACCACACGAACACCAGCAGCACACCACAGCAGCCACCGCAAGACCACAGGCTAGCACCACCACATGAACCACGCCAGTAGCACCACCAACAAACCACATGCCAGCAGACACCCCACATGAACCACCGCCAGTAGCACCACCACCAGCTAGCCCACCACATGAACCACAGCCAGTAGCACCACCACAGCTACACACAACATGACCACCGCCAGTAGACCACCACAGAACACCGCCAGAGCACCACCTCACATAAACCACCGCCAGCAGCCACCACCACATGAACCACCGCAGTAGCACCACCACCACATGAACCACCGCCAGTAGTACCACCGCAGACTAGCACCACAGAACCACCGCCAGTAAACACCACCAGGACTAGCACCACCACACTGAACCACCAGCAGACTAGCACCACCACACATGAACCACCGCCAGAGCACCACCAGCAGGCAGACACCACACGAACATACCAGTACCACCAGCAGGCTAGCACCACCACACATGAACCACCAAGCTAGCCCCCCACACAACCACGCCAGAGCACCCCACACATGAACCACCCCAGTCACCACCCACCCAGCAGCTAGCACCACCACACATGAACCACCGCCAGCAGCACCACCACACATGAACCACCGCCAGTAGCACCACCAGCAGGCTAGCACCACCACCGCCAGTAGCACCACCGCCGCCATGGCACCGCCAATGGTCAATACCCCCCACCAGCCCTTCTACCCCTTATTTCACCCTCCAGACCGCCCCTAGGCTTCCTCTAGGCCTACCCAAACCCGCCTTTAACCCTTAACGCCTCTTATACTCACCCAATGTGTCCATTTCTGCAGCCAGAGGCGCAAAATAAGAGAAAAACTCCCGGTGTATAGCAGAGCTTCACTGTGATGGTGGCCTCGCGCTCACCACACCAACAAACTCTCCACAAAACTTATAAACTCTGCCACTCTCGCTCTATTTCCTCTCACTTGTGACTCTATAATGACTCTGTCAGTCTCTGCCACCCGCTGAAGCTCTAACATGGCGCCTACACTGCCATAAAACTCTATATTGCCCTGA